TATGGGGGATTGTGTTGCATATAAAGGTATAGAAGAGTGGGATCACTCGCTGAGGAAGCGCGGTATTCAGCGAGACACGCCACTGAGTACATTGTAAGCACGTAACGCCTGAGCGCCTGAGACAAGGGTGTGGTGTTCCCGGGGTCACGCAGCACCTCTTGTGCGACACTCTGGCCTCCACAACAGTTCCATGCGTCCAGTGAACGTTTTCCTCACACTTAGCCTTGATGACCAGCTTTACAAGCCCGGTCTCGGGCTGGGAGGGTTTAACCAGCGTCAAATATGAAGTATTTGATGCTGTCTGGGATGCTCCCGGACGCAGGTTCGAATCCTCGTCACGACCCTTGTGGATTTGTTCAAATATGAAGTAGTTTTTGCCTTACCAGAAGCGCTCGAAGCCAGCCGAGGCTCACTAGCCTATGTCGTCCCGGTTTTGATATCTTGACTTTTACTTGTTCGTGAAATCTGGAGGTTTGTCGTGTCTGTTGTTCCTACTCTAATTAAACCTCAAGTGTCGTCTGTAAACGGTACTGTATATATATATGTGTATATATATATATATATATATATATATATATATATATATATATATATATATATATATATATATATATATATATATATATATATATATATATAATATATAATGTGTGTGTGTGTGCGCGTATAGTATATGACATTGAATCCACGCTGATTTAAAGTTACTCTTTTGAGTTAAAAGTTAGTATCACGTTTTCCCCACTGATCGGCGATATATTCACAACATTCATTATAAAGCTAAATGATTTAAAATTCACTTTGTGGCTGAAGAAAGTTTTTTTTATTATTATTTTCTACCACAGACGTGGCCACACATTTACAATGCTAACCAGCATATATACATTTTCTTCTGTCCTCCATGGACAGGGTTAGAGTAGTGCTTTTAAAATGTGAACCTAACCTAGAGACATAAATACATAGATACACAGAGTTATGTCTGCCCTACTTAAAGTGGTTGATGTGTACTATACATAGTATCATTAATGTGCATTTACAAATGTGAAATGTAATTCTGATCAGCTTCCACGTATATTTTATACACATAATGGTGTATACCGGCAGCAGGTTTTCTTTTAAAAATGTCTCATTGAATATGACAGCATATACCGTGTTGACTATTTTCTGGTTTAGGGCTTCTATCCCTCTTACTAGTGCTCTTGCATCAGGGTTCAGCTGGAAGAATACACATACACATACATATACATACGCACACATATACATATATATACATATACATACGCACACATACATTTATGGCTCTCTTACTCCGAGAGGGTAAGATACCTGATAGAGAAACTAATGTGTTATTAAACACTTAACCACTGAAGGTGATTAAGGTGCTTTTACAAGCTCAGGTTATATAGTTACATCACATTGTATGTATAGTTGATATATAGTTGATACCTTACATGGTCAATCTTGGGTACAAGTCCAATATATCATCAAGTGTTCCAGTACTCATAGTAATTACAGAGTTCAGCATACCTCAGTCAAGGAGGGCGAAAGTCAATCTATATGGGACATTCTACAATATAATGTTCAAGAGAGTACATGTTTTCTCTCTCACAAAGTTGACACATTGTGTACTCGACATTTGGGGTCTGAGAAAGCTGCCAGATACATCTGTATCCCAGGCGTATTCTGGCCACTATAACATCACATTGCCGAGTTCCTGCTCTATTAGTCCCCATATGTTAATGTCTCCTCACGATATCTATCATAATATTTAATGCTACAACTTTCAGATCTTTATGAATTTGTTAGGTCGGTGAGATTTTCAATAGATATTTGTTGAAGTATTCTCTTTGTCACTGCTAATGAAACACCCATGTCAATTTCTACCACTGGTTTTCTACAGGCTGCCTTTGCAAGCATATCAACAGTGTCATGCCTTGAGATGCCAACATGTGATGGAGAAAGTAACATTAGAAGACTAAGTTTTAACATTATGTACTCGCCTGATATTTTTTTCTGTAACTGTCGGAGTTCCCAAGGTAACATTGATGTCATTCTGAAGGCCGTGAGCGTGATGCTGCACTCCTGTACTATCCACCAATATTCCTTTCGTCAGTGTAATGAATGATTTACTTATATTAATGCACCACAAGGGGTCATACCAAAATGTGATGTGTTATCTCTTGAGTATGATAACTTGGTTCGGTGGGGTTATGTGGGCGTAGATCAGTGGAATGGTTTTAATATTTTGATGGGAGCGAGGTGGTGGTGGTGGTGGTGGTGGTGTATGTGTGGTGGGATGGTGATGTTGGTGAGTGGGTTGGGAGCGTGAGAGTTTTAATTAGTGAGGTGTGAGTGTGAGAGGTGTTGGGTTGAGGCAGCGTGATCACTGCCCCAGCGGGAGGCTATTCTGGTGTGTTGGCTGCCAGTGTGTGTGACGCAGCTGGTGAGGTGTGACGTGTGTGCCTCTACACCTCCACCACACCACCATACCACCACATTCTCCCCACCACACCTCACCTGTCCTCCTCGGCAGTATTACTGGGCTCATCATTCGCTCACCCCTGGGGCAGTGCTGCCCAAACGACGTTAATATGACATTGAATCAACGTTAAATAAGAAAAGCATGTTCCCCACCCCCCACCACCACCCAGTTCAAACATGACACAAGCGGACATTCCCCCATGGAGCATCATTGCCAGGATCAGGTTGGGTTACCGTTACCTGTGGCAGGTGGCTACAGGTGACGGATCTCCCAATCCTGAGCACTCCAGGTGCAAACTCTGTGAGCAGGAACTGGGACATGATCTCTCACACTACAATGTTGAATGCCCAGTCATTAGACCATTCTAACCTGCCGACATGACGTGCCTGGAGTTTTGTAGTCACTTTATTAACAATCGTGTTCTTGAGGACATCTTCACAATGCACCCATAGTTTGCCAGTGCAAACTACTGATCAAATGACCCTGTATGCCTAACTATCTTGTGTGATAGGGACTTTTAGCATCACGTAGCTAGTTCTTGGCACACACTGTACTTCCCCCTCATATAGTCCAGGGCAGCTGCATAGATCCTGATGTAGCTAAATGTGTTAATTAAAAAAAAAATCCGTGCTTGCCGAGGTGACAAGCTGACATGTTTTAGGAATGCTGTATCAATAATGCAGCTCAGGATACAGCTGTGACAATGCAGGTGAGAGGCAGGCATGATGGTCACGTGGTAACGACGGCTGTTGCATGAAATACCAACCCGTTCTCGCACTTTCTTACAGTCAATATTGACTTATTAAATACGTGCATATGTGACATACTAAACATACTAGTTTACCTTGAAAAGCTTCATAGAAAACACCGACCTTACCTAACCTTCTTAGTATGTTAAGATAAGCATCTTATTGCTTCGTAATTACAATTATTACTTAACCTATACCTATAATAGGTTAAGTAATAATTGTAATTACGAAGCAATAAGATGCTTATCTTATCATACTAAGAAGGTTAGGTAAGGTCGGTGTTTTCTATGAAGCTTTTCAAAGTAAACTAGTATGTTAAGTATGTCACATATACACGTATTTAATAAGTCAATATTGACTATACGAAAGTGCGAGAACGGGTTGGAAATACAACACTTGTATCTAAACATTTCTCATGGATCCAAATACACTGGCTTTCACACCATGGCACAGCAACGAACTCCTTCTAGCACGGACGGCGTTCGATCCCGGATGGTCCAGGTGTTTGAGGCCCGTTCTTTCAACCGGGCTGTGTATCTCGGCTCCTTGTTCTCACAGAGTGATTGATGAAGATTAAGCCACCTAAGAAGATGCACGGGCATGAACAACCCGTAATCGTTCTCACACCCCTTCCAAGAGCTATGTATTCATACTGGTTAGCGCGCCTCTCCTCATAAGTGTAACATTCCGTAACATCAGACAACTTCCTGTTCATTATCATTACATTATCTGTAACATCATTGAACACGTGACGTGCCGCTAAAAGTCCTTTATTGATGACCTGTGTATGATGACGTGTATATCACCGCTGTTGATACCTGGTTGATGGGGTTCTGGGAGTTCTTCTACTCCCCAAGTAGAAGGCCAGGCTTGACTTGTGAGAGTTTGGTCCACCAGGCTGTTGCTTGGAGCGGCCCGCAGGCCCACATACCCACCACAGCCCGGTTGGTCCGGCACTCCTTGGAGGAATAAATCTAGTTTCTGTATCTAGCTGTATTTAGTGTTCATACAAATAATCTTAACCACAACAATAACCATGATCTTAATAGTATATTTAAAGCGTTTATTTGTAAATACCTAAGTGTAATTACCTAAGTGTATTTACATAATGAGAGTTATGCTTATGGTGTCCCGTCTTCCCAGTACTCTTTGTCGTATAGCGCTTGTGTATATGTGTGAACTCACCTATTTGTACTCACTTATTTGTGCTTGCGGGGGTTGAGCTTTGGCTCTTTGGTCCCGCCTCTCAACCGTCAATCAACTGGTGTACAGATTCCTGAGCCTACTGGGCTCTATCATATCTACATTTGAAACTGTGTATGAAAATGTGTGTGTGTGTGTGTGTGTGTGTGTGTGTGTGTGTGTGTGTGTGTGTGTGAGCCTACTGTGTGTATGTGTATGTGTGTGTCCAATAATTTGTTATAATATACATAATATATTGCATCACTTAAATAATAATTTCTTTATTCAAATTATATTAATTATCTTTATCAACTGTATTAATTTGATGCTAATATTTGATTGTAAAAGGCCTCCATTTTTTTTACCAATGGATTCCTTATATAAAGCCATGTCCAGGATAAAGCCATGTCCAGGATAGAGCCATGTCTAGGATAGAGCCATGTCCAGGATAAAGCCATGTCCAGGATAAAGACAGTCCAGGATAGAGCCATGTCCAGGATAGAGCCATGTCTAGGATAGAGCCATATTTAGGATAAAGCCAGGATGTATTTGTGACCAGTGATCAATTAACAAGGTGTTGTTGTTGACAGGCGTGCGCCACGCTGGAGGAGGATGAGGGCGGCCAGCGCGTAAGAGGTAAGAAGACACTATAGGCTCCCCCGCAACACCTTGTGGTGGGTGTGTGTTGGTGGTGTTCCCGCCGCCGTGTCTGTCTTGGCTTGCATGTCTTGTGCATTGTGTCTCACGGTTGGCTTGGCTTGAGTGGCTTCTTGCGTTAATATTGATTTGTGGCGTTGGCTGATTCGCGTGTCGTCCGGGCACTGTGGTGTGGCCCGTTTTCTCTTATTTGCTGCAGGGGTAAAAAAATGAAACTATTTTGCCTAACCAGTTTGAAAATTCATTTATTGAAGGAAAAGAGAATGTAAAGGATTTGGGAGTAATCACGTGGGAAGACCTTACTTGTAAAGAACATAATAGAGTAGCTGTCTCAGGTACAAAGAAAATGACTGGTTGGATAACAAGAACCCTTCAAACAAGAGATACCAGACGAATGATGGTACTGTTTAAGGCACTTGTGCTCATTAGGGGGGAAGTATTGTTGCACGCCCACAGCTTCATTCAAAGCTGGATTAATTTCTGACCTGGAGAACGTGCAGAGATCTTTTACTTCTAGAATCCACCCAAAAAAACTAATAAAACATCTGATTTATATTAACCGATTAAAATTAAATCTGTATTCCCCAAATCGCAAGTTGGAGAGACATAAAATTGACACTTGGAAAATAATAGAGGGGCTGGTCCCAAACCTGCACACAGACATAACAGCACATGAGACCAGAAGGCATGGCAGGATGTGCAGAATACCCCCGTTGAAGAGCAGAGGTGCAATAGGTACACTGAGAGAGAACTCTATCAACATCAGAGGCCCGAGACTGTTCAACACGCTTCCACTACACATAAGGGACATAACTGGCCGACCCCTCACAGTGTTCAAGAGAGAACTATCAACATCAGAGGCCCGAGACTGTTCAACACGCTTCCACTACACATAAGGGACATAACTGGCCGACCCCTCACAGTGTTCAAGAGAGAACTATCAACATCAGAGGCCCGAGACTGTTCAACACGCTTCCACTACACATAAGGGGCATAACTGGCCGACCCCTCACAGTGTTCAAGAGAGAACTATCAACATCAGAGGCCCGAGACTGTTCAACACGCTTCCACTACACATAAGGGACATAACTGGCCGACCCCTCACAGTGTTCAAGAGAGAAGTTAACAAGCACCTTCAATGGAGACCTGATCAACTAGGCTGTGGTTGATCATACGTCAGTTGCATTCATACATGAGGCTGCCAGCAGCCTCATGTATGAATAAAACGTCCAATAAATCAAATGGAACTTTTATGGTCCATAGAAATAAGATTTTTCACGTAATGGCGATTAATAAAACAATTTAGTTCCATAAGTTGTTTAAATCATTCCCACTGTAAAATTGTAATGGTGAAAATATTACTAGATGACAATTCGAAATGGTGGAGGAAGTGAAATCCCCAGCGTAGGAATGTGACCTGGAGGAGTATATCACATGGATGAGACATGAGAACAGAGTGAAGGGATGTTGTCTAACACATTGGACCACTGGGATCGAACGCCGACCTTGTAAGAAGCGAGGCTGCCGTTCTGCCGACCAGTCGAAGTGGTTGGGTAAGCTATGAAAAGTTTATCTTCCCATAGTAGGAAAGCAACATGTAAAGGATCTGGGAATAATGATGTCTGACGACCTAACGTTGAGGGAGCATAACCAAGCAAATATTGCGTCAGCCAGTAAAATGATGGGATGGATTACGAGAACCTTCAAATCCAGGGATCACATCACAATGGTTATACTATTCAAGTCACTTGTACTATCCCGTCTTGAGTACTGCGCAATGGTCACTTCTCCCTTCAGAGCAGGACAGAGAGTGCTAAAATAGAAGGAATTCAGAGAACATTACGGCATGCATAGGTAAGATAAAGCATCTTAATTATTGGGACCGCCTCAAGGCTCTCAAAATGTACTTTGTATAAAGGAGACGGGAGAGGTGTCACATAATATATACATAGAAAATACTGGTGGGCCAGGTGCCAAATTTACACAGTAAATTACAAGATACTGGAGTAAAGCGATATGGAATGAAATACAGAATTGAGCCAGTGAAGAGTACAGATGCCATAGGCACAATCAGAGAACACTGACCATCAGCGGCCCACAGTTGTTCAATATCCTCCCAGCAAGTTTAGATAATATTGCCGGAACAAAAGTGGAAGTCTTTAAGAAAAAATGAGTTTTCTGCAAGAAGTGCTGGACCAACCGGGTTGTAGTGTGTGCCTGCGGGCCGCTGCAAGCAACACTCAGGTTGAGCACTCTCACAAGTCAAGGGCCGGGCTTGGGGAGTAGCTGAACTGCCAGAACCTCATCCAGGTCCCCTCAACTCCGAGTGTACGAGTATGGCGAGACACCAAGACCACTGGGTACAGCGGTCACACGCAACATGCCACAACACTATCACACCACAAGTCCCACAAGTCCGTGATGTGTCTGTGATCAGACATTGAGGCCTTACAAAAGGATCAAACCCGCGCCCCCAAACTCTTCAGGCACAAAACATCAGTCACCTAATTTATCACGAGGTGATTTGATCTAACGAGGATATATATATACACGGGTCTAGTGGGCAGTGGGGACGGACCCAACGCTTACACCGCACTACACTTGGCTGTGCAGGGGGGAAATAGTCTTACAGGTTCCATAATAATAATACAGATTATTATTATTATTGAGAAAATCAACAGGAGCTCTGATGAAGATTCGAACCTATGTACCGGGTATTCCTAAATGCACCCTCTAGTCGACTACGCCACGACATGGTCAAAAGAATGGCAACCTGGGGTACTACTACACCCACGAGGATTCCCGAGGCTTCCCCCCCTGAAGCCGACCCAGGGTTTCACACGATCCCCCCTCCCCCCCACTCTGGCTCTGTCGTCCAGTAATTATACCTCTGACATCTTTCAATACACGGGAGGAATCGTGTGAAACCCTGGGTGGGCTTCAGGGGGAATCCTCGGGAATCCTCGTGGGTGCAGTAGTACCCCCAGGTTGCCATTCTTTTGACCATGTCGTGGCGTAGTGGTTTAGAGCGTGCATCTGGGAATACCCGGTACATAGGTTCGAATCCTCATCACAGCTCCTGTGGATTTTCTCATTGATATATCACAATAATGTGATTTCTCTGTGTATTATTATTATTATTATTATTATTATTATTACAATATTAATATTATTATTATTATTATTATTATTATTATTATTATTATTATTACAATATTAATATTATTATTATTATTATTATTATTATTATTATTCATGATTAAAAATGTAAGTAACTCTGTGTTTTTAGAAGTGCAAACAAGTATTGAGATAAGAAAAATCCCATTTAATTAATATAGGATTTTTTTTTAGATAATCTTGAAGGTGTGTAGAAGCGTGTTACTGCTTGACCTTCGAGGTGTGTGTGTGTGTGTGTGTGTGTGTGTGTGTGTGTGTGTGTGTGTGTGTGTGTGTGTGTGTGTGTGTGTGTGTGTAGTGTATGTGTGGTGTATGTGTGGGGGGTGTGTGTGTGTGTGTGTGTGTGTGTGTGTGTGTGTGTGTGTGTGTGTGTGTGTGGTGTGTGTGTGTGAGTACTCATCCAGTTGTGCTTGCGGGCGTTGAGGTCTGACTCTTTGGTCCCTCAAATAATGTGTGTGGGGGGAGGGGGTACCTGTTTCCCTTCATAATAATTTCCTTAACGTGGTAGCGTTTGTTGAATGGTAGGATGGTTTCAACAGCGGTTGAATACGCTCTGCTGTTTGAAATTGAAGTTGAAATAAGTTTATTGGGGTATAAATACACACAAAGGGATGAGGTACCTCAAGCTATTCTCACCCCCGTTCAGTACAACATGTTCATACATATATAGACACACATCACAAACAACACTCATATTACCGAACATTCTGAGTGATAAACATATACATTTCTTCCTATACACATGCAGTATGTTACCAGACGTACACACACACACACACACACACACACTCACTCTTTCATGACTAGGCACACAGACCATTTGCAATAGACATTCAGACAATTCAACAATGTTACAATCTTGGTGCAAAATTCTTATATCTCTCCAGAATATCATCAACCTTTCCGTTGTGACTCATCCAGGCAATTTGTCCAGAAACAGTTCTTTATCTCAGTGTTTTTATATACATTAATCAAGGGACAATCAATAACATAATGGGTGAGGGTGTGAGACCTTAACATAACACATAATTTACACTTGGTGTCATTATCATTAACACCTGTACCACATTGCCAGTAATATTTGTACCCAAGCCTGAGCCGCATGTGCACAGAGTCACTACAAGCATTTCTCCTTTTACCATAAGTGAAATGAGTGTTTTGACTCACACAAATGTAGTGTTGCATGGTTTGGCTTCCCTCATATATTACACCTCTCCTCGCCACTTCTGCTTGTGCCTGAATATATATATATATATATATATATATATATATATATATATATATATATATATATATATATATATATATATATATATATATATATAATTTTGCTTTTTATTTGTCTCATTGTTAAAACATAAGTACTGGTGTGTAGTGCTGCTGGCTCGTGTGGGTAATGTCTGCTGGACCTGTGACCTGCCTTTATGTGTACTGGTATTGTAAACTACCTTGTTTAGTGTGCCTGCTTGTTGTTCCCCTTGTTTGTGTCTGCCTGCGTGGTGCCTGCTCACTAACGCGCCGCCACTGACAGTGAACATATTGCTATAGATTGCCGGAACTCAACTCTGGGGCCCCGCCATGACACTGACTCTTGACCAACAGGCCTCGGCGACTCCGGAGAGGATGTGGGCATTTGAGGTCACGTGAGGTCATTCATCAACCACCAAACTGACGCCTCACACCAACACGGAGTCGGAGGTCAGTATCAAGATGCCAGACGCCACAAGCAAGTCTCCCATCACTATCTTGTTATTGTTGATTTTAAAGAGCCATGTAAGACGTTCTGAACACTGTATATAAACCCAGGAGCGCCACCAGGGGGAAGCCTCGGGAATCCTCGTGGGTGCAGTAGTACCCCAGGTTGCCATTCTTTTGACCATGTCGTGGCGTAGTGGACTAGAGGGTGCATCTGGGAATACCCGGTGCATAGGTTCGAATCCTCAAAACAGCTCCTGTCGATTCTCTCATTGATATATCACAATAATGTGATTTCTCTGCTAGCTAGACTCCTCAACCGTGGCCTAAACTCAACCTTATAGTTGCTGACGTGTTGTCCCCCCCCTCCCTCCCCACCATCACTTGTACTGTCCCGTCTTGAGTACTGCTCAGTACTCACTTCCCCCTTCAGAGCAGGAGAGATTACTGAAATAGAGGGAATACAGAGAACATATACGGCACGCATAGACGCGATAAAGCACCTAAATTATTGGGATTGTCTCATAGCTCTCCAAATGTACTCACTAGAAAGGAGACGAGAGAGATACCAAATAATATACACCTGGAAAATACTGGAGGACCAGGTCCCTAATCTACACAGTAAAATAACAACGTACTGGAGTGAACGATATGGAAGAAAATGCAGAATACAACCTGTGAAGAGCAGAGGTGCCATAGGCACAATCAGAGAACACTGCATGAACATCAGAGGTCCACAGTTATTCAACATCCTCCCAGCGAGCATAAGAAATATTGCCGGAACAATTGTGGACATCTTCAAGAGAGTTTTCTTCAAGGAGTGCCGGACCAACCGGGCTGTGGTGGGTATGTGGGCCTGCGGGCCGCTCCAAGCAACAGCCTGTTAGACCAAACTCTCACAAGTCAAGCCTGGCCTCGGGCCGGGCTTGGGGTGTAGAAGAACTCCCAGAACTCCATCAAGCAGGTAGCACACCTCTACAAGAATGATAGCGACAATCATATAACAAAGCCTCAGGTAGGGCGGGCCCGTGTAAACGGTGTACAAGGAACTCCATATTACCAGTAATGGCCTGACAGTTTAGTAAGGAACTCTCATAACAAGAGGAAGACAGCTTAATTACAGGAGAAAATAAAAGATAATTGGTGTGGCAGATAACGACAGAGAGGGGAGGGAGGACGTCTTTAGTTGTGGGGGGGGGGCACTGTTTGTTTCCCCTTATTGTTGTTCCCTGTGAGGCTATAGCTCCTCCTCCTCCTCCTTCTTCTCCTTGTGTTACCTACCTATCAGTACTTTCCTCTCAGTGTCTAAGGGGAAGTGAGGTCTAGCTCCTCATCCCCCGCCTCCTATAGCCGTGTGGCTGTTGCTTTTCAACTTAACTATTCTGACTTTCCAATTGTTTGTCGAAACTGTCCTTAAAGTTGTGGATGGAGGTGGCCTCTAGAGTTTCCTCTTTTAGAACACTGCACGTGTTAACTCCCCGTACAGGGTACGAGTACTCCCTTACATAGTAGTAGTATAGTGCAGGGGCTGGTCCCAAACCTTCACTCAGAAATAGCATCACATGAGACCAGAAGGCATGGCAGGATGTACAGAATACCCCCGTTGAAGAGCAGAGGTGCAACAGGTACTCTGAGAGAGAACTCTATCAACATCAGAGGCCCGAGACTGTTCAACACGCTTCCACTACACATAAGGGACATAACTGGCCGACCCCTCACAGTGGTCAAGACAGAACTTGATAAACACCTCCAAAGATACCTGATCAACCAGGCTGTGATTCATACGTCAGGCTGCGAGCAGCCGCGTCCAACAGCCTGGTTGACCAGTCCAACAACCAGGAGGCCTGGTCAACGACCGGGCCGCGGGGACGCTAAACCCTGAAATCATCTCAAGGTAACCTCAAGGTAACGTTCCTTCAGCAGATTTTTTTGTTCACCTCTTCCACAGTGACTAGAAACTTGCCGTGCGCGGTCTTGCTCACGTCAGGTGAAGTGGTCGCGAACCCTGGCTGGTTGTGTCATGTGGAGTCCTCCCGCCTTCACCTTCCTGCACGGGGGTCGATGTCTCGGGTGACCTCGGCGAGACTGGTGACCCTTGATGACCAGTGTGAGGTGTAGTGACGCTGGTGCTGCCTGGCGGCACCCTGGTCCCTGGCCCGCCTCAACCCACCAGTGCCTGGCGTGAAGACACCCGAGGCCAGCCTCACCTTCATTACAGTCCTCAGACAGAAGACAAGAAAATATTTTGACTTGTGTTGGCGGCCTCCGGGTGTAATATTGTGCAAGAACCCGTCGACGCTCCCCCCCTCCCCCACACTTTCTCCTATATTGTATTCCCACTGGCCACGCCCACCTACCCAGTGCTCCCACTGGCCACACCCAAGCACCTAAATTATTGGGATTGTCTCAAAGCTCTCCAAATGTACTCACTAGAAAGGAGACGAGAGAGATACCAAATAATATACACATGGAAAATACTGGAGGGACAGGTCCCTAATCTACACAGTAAAATAACAACATACTGGAGTGAACGATATGGAAGAAAATGCAGAATAGAACCAGTGAAGAGCAGAGGTGCCATAGGCACAATCAGAGAACACTGGATAAACATCAGAGGTCCGCGGTTGTTCAACATCCTCCCAGCGAGCATCAGAAATATTGCCGGAACAACCATGGACATCTTCAGGAGAAAACTAGATTGTTTCCCTCAAGGAGTGCCGGACCAACCGGGCTGTGGTGGGTATGTGGGCCTGCGGGCCGCTCCAAGCAACAGCCTGGTGGACCAACCTCTCACAAGTCAAGCCTGGCCTCGGGCCGGGCTTGGGGAGTAGAAGAACTCCCAGGGTGGGGAGAGGAGGGGCTGGGGTGGGGAGAGGAGGGGCTGGGGTGGGGAGAGGAGGGGCTGGGGTGGGGAGAGAAGGGGCTGGGGTGGGGAGAGGAGGGGCTGGGGTGGGGAGAGGAGGGGCTGGGGTGGGGAGAGGAGGGGCTGGGGTGGGGAGAGGAGGGGCTGGGGTGGAAGTTGTTGTGCTTGATGTGTTAGTCGTTCACCCCCGTGTGGGTGGAGGGGGGGAGGCTGCCGTTCTCTATGGGTGCTATTTAGAACAAATCAATAGTCAGTGATAGTGGATGGTACAGCTTTGTCCGTCTGGGCTATACCAGTGAGTGCTGGACACGTGTCGCGCCCTGGGACCTCGTGGGGCGTTCTGGGGGCCACGTGCGGCGCCCTGGGACCACGTGCAGCGCCCTGGGGGCCACGTGCAGCGCCCTGGGGAGCCACGTACAGCACCCTGGGGGCCACGTGCAGCGCCCTGGGGAGCCACGTGCAGCGCCCTGGGGGCCACGTGCAGCGCCCTGGGGAGCCACGTACAGCACCCTGGGGGCCACGTGCAGCGCCCTGGGGAGCCACGTGCAGCGCCCTGGGGGCCACGTGCAGCGCCCTGGGGAGCCACGTATAGCACCCTGGGGGGCCACATCTTGACACGGTCTAGTGCCGTCTGATAATAATAATACTTATGGCTGCTATGGCCGGAAACGTCACAAAGGAACCGATGTACAAAGGAACGTTTCGTACAATTTATTTTGTTAAGTGCTAGAGGAAGATGGCAACAAGTTTCTTAGGCCTAGTCAAGTACATATATATATTCTAAATTAGAGGACTCTTGCACCTTTAGGGACTCTTGCATCTTGGAGGACTCTTGCATCTTGGAAGACTCCTGCATCTTGGAGGACTTGCTCCATCATGGTCACCGCAAAAGGTAGTGACTTAAGACCCTCCCCACCACCATCGCCACCACCACCACCACCATCGCCACCTGGCGCCGCGGCGCCACCACCACCATCGCCACCTGGCGGCGCCACCATCGCCACCTGGCGGGGGTGGTGGTTCAGTCTTAAAGTTTCATCTGTTTTGTAAGGTGTTGTGTTCTGATATGTGTTTTGTGCCACAGCTGTTGAGTGCAGGTCGAGGCGCTGCTCTTGTCGCACACTGGTCACCGGTGTCTAGGCTCCGTCGCCCAGGATATTGGGGACCTGTGTGCCAGGTAACTGAACCCTTGACATTGAATTCTGGAATCCAGGGGCCAGATTCACGAAGCAGTTACGCAAGTACTTAAGAACGTGTACATTTTATATCAATATTTGACGCCTTTGGTTACATTTATTAAACAGTTTACAGGCATGAAAACTTGCCAGTCAACTGTTGTTATTGTTATATACAGCCTCCTGGTGACTCGGAGCTCATTAACTGTTTAATAATTGTAAACAAAGCCGCCAAAGATTGAGAAAAGATGTACAGGTCGTAATTGCTTGCGTAACTGCTTCGTGAATCTGGCCCCTGGGGCTGAGTATGTTGTCTCTGGCTCCGTCACACTCCTGTACATCCCCGTGACTTTGTATAAGGTTTTGCAGCCGCAGCTGTCAAGCAGGTGTGAGAGGTGTCATAGGGCTGTGTGTTCCCTGACTGCCCTGAGGGATAGGTTAAGCACGTGGCTCTTCACTGTCATTAAAGAGTCATACTTCATTTCCAGTATGTCAATGTCATCTGTGAAGTCTTTTTTTTGTCTTAATCTTTCTCTTCATCTTCTAATCATTTTCTTGTTCTTCATTTTCCTCCTCCTCCTCTTCATCTCCCACTTCTTCCTTCACACACACACACACACACACACACACACACACACACACACACACACACACACACAAAAGTTCAGAAGTATGCCACTAGGCTAGTCCCAGAACTAAGAGGCATGAGTTTCGAGGAAAGGCTGAGAGAACTGCACCTCACGTCGCTGGAAGACAAAAGAGCCCGGGGGAGACAAGATCACCACATACAAAAGTCTCAGGGAAATTGACAGGGGTAGACAATAATGGATTATTTAACACGGGTGGTACACGCACAAGGAAACACAGGTGGACGCTGAGTACCCAAATGAACCACAGAGATACTAAAAAGAACATTTTCAGTGTCAGAGTAGTTAGTAAATGGAATGCATTAGGCAGTGATGTGG